TTCATACATAGAGGAGTTATGTGAGGGGGTTTTGATTTCAACATTAACTAAAGTCTTTGAAAGAACTGATATCATACTACATATAAATTTTGAACCTTGTTTTTTTCAAAGCACCATGCATATACTAACATTAATCTCCCATTAACAGGGGGAAAGCTACTTTGCTTTGCAAACATTTACAAAGTACTGTTGAAGTAGAATCCTCTTATGCAATGAAAAGGAAAAAAATCTAATTATACATGGGTGAACTTTAAGAACCTTATTCTAAGGAAAAGAACCTGGATACATTCAGGGGCTGCATTCTATTGATCTAAAATGACTAGAAAGGCAAATCTACTGTGGCAGAAATAGATTAGTGGTTGTTTGGGGCTGAAAGTGGGATGAGGACTAATGAAAATGGGCAGGAGAGATCTTTATGTGGTGATAGAAATTATCTAAAATACAACTAGAGCAATGGTTGCACAACTCTATACATTTGCTAAAGACCATTGAATTATACACTTAAAACAAGGGAGTTTTGTCAGAAATAAATTGTTTTTCAATAAAGAAGTTTATAAAATGTTAAAAGTAGCACTGTTTACTAGCTTCCAATAAAGCGGTCTGAATTTTTGTACCTTTTAATGAAAAGACGTGGGAAGAAGAAATTGAAAGCTGTCAACAACCTTACCTAAAAGGGCAAGTACCCAAATATCCACCAATTTATTGTTAGGATTGCAAAAATGAAATCAATACTACTTAGAAATTAAATAAGAACATCATTTCAAATCTTATAGGATATGGCTAAAGATATACATAAAAATATTCCAGACAAATGAATTTATTAGGAAATGAAAGAAATTGAAAGTAAAATAATTAAAGTTTTCAACCCAAGAGGCCCAAAAACATCGATCATATTCAAGGTCATGCTTCTTTCTTTGTCTTCCCTCAGAATCCATCCCCGATGTAATGAGTTACCAAACCTAACTAATTTAAATGCCTCAGAAACATCTGTCAGCTTTTATACCACCTCTGCATTCCCATCACCACTACCTTAGTTCAGAGATTTTCTTTTCTCACAGAGCTTAGAAAGGAAACTTATAATTGGCTTCTTGGTCACTGATTTCCACCTATTCCAGCTAAGAAAACTGATAATTTCCAACTAAGAAAAAAAGCTTTAAATTTTCTAAAGGACCTAAGAAGAGAACAGAACTACAGAGTTATTTTGGAAGCAAAATAGCTTTTTCAGTGCAAAAAGTCAACAGAATTTTTTAAACGAACTTTGATGTAAGAATAGCTATTTTCAAAAAGAACAATGAGCGAACACTTATCCTATTAGATAGCAAAACAGAATAATTGAAAGAGTATGGTATCCAGATAGGAATATAAAAATACATCAGTTTTTTGCCCTTTTTTTTTTTTTTTTTTGTGGTACTTGGGATTGCTAGGCAAAATGCTCTACTACTTGAACTACATCCCCAGTCCTTTTTGCTTTTAGTTTGTTTTTCAGAGAGGGTCTCAAACTAACTTTGCCTGGTCTGGTCTTGAACCTCGTATCTCCTGTCTGCCTGGCTGGGATGATAGATGTGTACCACCATACTGAACCTTGATCAATTTTTTAATTTAAAATAATCAAGAATCTATACAGATCTAAAAGTAAAATTAAAAATGTAATATGTAATAAAGGTGGCATTTCAAATCAGTGGGCAAGGTTGACTCATTAAGCAATTGATACTGAGATAGTTGGCCATCAATTTAGGGGAAAAAAGGAAGTCAGACACTTAGCTCATGTCATTCATGAAAATAAATTCCAGATGGCTACAGAACTAATTTTTAGGAGGTATGAATAATATATATTCTTTCAAAAGAATTAGGTAGGTCTATTTTCAGAGATACTATGTATCATTTTGAAGTTTGTGTTTATAAAAATGATTCCTGACCCATGTTATAAATGGGTCATGATGTCCAGTTTTGCTTCAGCTTGCCAAGCTATATGCCATGGCTCAGTTATTTTGTTTTCAACCCGTGCAGAATTTCTAACTGGCACAAAGACATATACTACCAGAAACCAATAAATAGCAGTTAACAGGCAATTTGCACATACAAAAAACCTTTTTTTTTACACAGATGGTTGCACTATGTATGTCTCCCTCTTCCCCTAAATTCATACCTTCACACCTTCATTCCCCAATGTGATAGTATTTGGAAATGAGGTCTTTTGGGGAAGGGTTAGGCCCTCTTGAGGGGTAAGTGCCCTTCTAAGAAAAGACATCAGAAAACTTGCTGTCTCTCTACATATTGTGAAGACCCAGTGAGAAGGCTGCCTCTGCAGTTCAGGAAGAGAGCCCTCATTGAATCCCACCTTGATCTTGGAATTCTAGCTCCAAGAAAGAACTATGAGAAAACAAATTTCACTTGTCTAAAGCACCCAATTTATGGTATTTTGTTATGACAGCCCTAGCTGACTAATACAATGGTATTCAAAATGTATTAAGGTTTATTTTGTTGTTGACCTTAAACTTGTTTTTGATGTAGGTACATATAGTATATAGGTATATAGAGCTTGTAGGTATAGGTACTAAACAGCTGATAACAGCAGTGAACTCCAGAGAAGAGATTGCCCAAGGGTAGTGGTCAAGAGGCAGCTTGCTTTTATATAAACGTTTTCATTTTCATAAGAATATCTTCATTATTACATGCCTTACATAAATATTAAGTATTTTGAGAAAAAATGCTATGTTATAAAAGTTAAATGACTGACTTCCTCAAGGTCATAGACTACTTAAAGAAGAATTAAGAAAAAAACCCTGGTCCATGGCTCCTAGTCCTTAGTACTTTTTGCTCTGCTATAATATGGCTATTTTTTCCTGTTATGTAATGCAGATTAATGTGATTCTTTTTTATTCTTTTCAGCTGACGTTCTGAATCAGCTAATCTTGATAATTACTGGGACAGGAAGCAAAGCCTGAAATGACTCTGTAATCAAAGATGCTCCCTGCTATGGAAATGATTCTGTTGGAATCATGTCTCCTATGCTGGGACTCCACATCTGTTCTGTTTTCCCACCTCTTTCCATTACCGTGGCTCTCTTTTCTTTCCTTGGGAGAATTTTAGACTGTCTAGCCATCCTTTTGACCCCTGCCTTTGCCTTGCCCAGTAGTGTTCAGCTGTTTGGGGATTCTTGTCTACTTCCTTGTTTCTGAACTATAGCATGGCCCATTTTTCCAGTATCTTCTTGTATCTTGATCTGTAATTTTTTTCTGGTTTCTTAACCTCCTAACTTCAAGCACTTGACCCTGTTATGTTCTTGGTTCTCTCAGTAAAAGATTATGCTCAACTCTAAAGTGCTGAGTTGTTTAGAAAATAATGTGAATTTCACCCACAAAATCCTTAGGAATAACTAGAATCTATCTGTAACTCCAGATTCCCTTTGCAAACTTGGCAACTAGAGTTTGAGATAACTGTCACAAGAGTCACAAAGGAAACTTTCTAGATGTAAGTGAATCTCACTGCATAAAATGGTTATGTCTTCCAAAGTTACATATGAGTTTGAGGGGAAATTTTTAATATGCTTTATTTTTCAGAGCAGTTTTAGGTTCACATGAAAGTTAAGTGGAAAATACTAAGAGTTACAACAATTTTTTTTTTTTTTGCAGTGGCTAACTTAGGTAAGTGCATTAGGAAATCTCACTATTTAAAGGAAGGTTACTGCATTATGAAATGAAAGATCTGTCTTCAATTTATCTTTTATAAAAAGATGACTAAGGGGCTAGTTTAATTAGATAACTATGCCAGTTATGATTTTATTATCTCTCAGATCCAAGTTCACCCTTCATTATCTGCTGTGTGAAATGGAGATGGATCCTCTATTTGTCCCTTACAAAGGGCAATATATTAAGTGGTCAGAAAAGGATGCTGGAAGGATACCACAGAAGGAAAGAACTTTGCTTCCTGATATCAGTTGCTTCTACATCACAGTGCCTAGTAGAACCTACAGGGGACATCCAGGGTCACTTTATCCTTGAAGTCCCAATGGCACCTACATAATGAGTTTTTCACCAAATTTTGAGGTACCACCATGATCAGATTTCCATTAAGTCTTGTAAATCTTGAAATGGTTAGCTTCTAGCTCTAGCCTGCCTACATTCAGGTGGGGTACTTCCTGTTTGACCAGTATCTATGAACTAGTTCTGGCTTAGTTTACCCAAGAGCTTCTCCACCATGTCAAAGTCCATAACTACAGGTTCTGCAGTGAGGTCTGAGTCCCATCCATGAAGAGGGGTCCACAATTCCAAACTCATTTTTACTATAGAAACTTGCCCTCAGCCCTAGGGAATCTTTAGTGTTCTCTATATAACAAGGATGTCCTGTTAGAGTTTATAGTATTTTATGTTATGCTTTTCCTGTTCAAATTACTATGTTGCTTCTGTTTTCTGACTGACCCTGTTTGATACAGTAATCTTAGAAAAATAGTTTTAATGCCCCAGTGTACTCACAAATAAAATGAGGACACTGGGCTAGGCAATCTCAAATGTACTTTCCATCTCTAAAATTACATGATTACAGGAAATTCTAGGAAGTTTTTCATATATGGGGTGAATAAGGATATTATGAATACCACACAGCACTGCATAATTGTGCACTGTCTTCTTCGGCCCGAGTCACAGTAAATGGGTCTTCTTTCTTATTAGAATAATGGTTTCCTCCTTCTGGGTCAAAATACTAAGTCACAGCAGCAGTCAGTATCATTTCATGTACATAGAGGGCAATCAAATACTATACAATCCCCTGTGAAAGTTTTAACTAGGAAGCGATCAAAGGAACAAAATAGAAAACTCTAGGTTTATGTATGAAAATGAGAGTTTAAAATACATTCTAGAAATCATTTCATCCATTTATGAATATAAATATTGAATGGATACATGAAATGTAAAAACTGCTCCCTCTGATATTGTTTATCCCAACACATCACAGAAGACTCTGTTCACCATCTCCATTATCACACAATTGTAAATCCCTTTCACCTTTCTCTGTCTTTTACCGACTGTTCAGCCATTAATTTCTTCACTTCTTCTAGACGCCAAAGAGCTCTCGTTTCCATTTCTTGCCACTTCTGTTCTTTCTTAGCCCAGTATTTTCTTATCTATTGTAAAAATGTTACATCAAATTTAAATTAATATTAGATTAAAAACAAGGGGGAAAGCTATAATATTATCCATTGGTTCACATAGCAAAGATTGAATTTAAATGGCATTTCATCTTTTTTATTCCTCAGAACTGCCTGTAAATATTGACAACAGAAAAATAAATTAAAACACAGAGGTACATGTCCTAAGAAACCTCGTGGTTTAACAATTTCTGAAGTTGAAATGTAACTTGTGCTGAGACCCAAGGTTTTAGTCTATGGCTAAAACAATCAACTTTCAGGGAACCACAATAAAAGCATGTTATTGTCTCTAAAGTATATTATCTACCTGTTACTCAAAAATATTTTTATCCTCTTATAGTAATGCAGTCTTTAACAAATATAGCATTAAAACTATTTTTACTGTAAAAGCATGGGTTTATTTATACTAATGGACAGCGGGATGTTGAAAGCTTTTTGCTTCTGGGGAAGTGGCGGGAGATGGGTGGGAGGAAGGAGGGAAAGAACAAGTTAGCAGGGCTGTGGTATATAGTAGTCCTGACTTCTGTGGTAAAATAAAGGTCAAGCTTATTGTGTTCACAAAGGTGAAAGCATTGTTCTTCCTAGGCCTGTTTTACTTCTCTTCTCTGAAAATGAAAGTGGAATGAGAAAACTGAAAGTATATGTGTGCTGCTTTCAGGGGGCTGAAACCATTTTAGGATTCCTCTGTGTGATAAGGTAACTAATGTGTACTTGACAGAGACCTCTTCTACCACTCTGGTTTTCCATGCTGTATCTGGCTCTGGAGGCTGGACCTTGCTGATAAAAGATAGAGTTGTAACTCAATGGTGAACACTAACTAGTGACTGGCAGCAGAGGGTCTGTGGGAGAAGCTGGATTAATTAGCTTCACCTCCAACATGCCACTTCCTCTTCTGAGAGATGGATATGAAAAGCTAAGTGGTTTCCTGACTTGTCCTAACAACAGGGTGTCTCTCTTAGGAGATCCTGAAGAAACACCCCAAGCACCATGGCTATAACCATAGCAACTGTGCAACTACAATAGTGACATTGGTTCAATGCTTAATAACTACATATAAAGTGATATTAACTCCAGACATGACTGAGGTCTGAGATGAGGGAGAAGAGAAAGGAAGATTGAAAGGTGGCAGCAACAAAAATAGAGAATGAGAGAGGTGATAGGGATGGGAGAGAAAGCATTAACAGACAAGGTGTATCCCAGAGTAATAATGATAAATGCCAGGATTTCTATTAATGCCAAATAGGAAAATGTTCACAATGATAATATTATCTCCATCTGGAGATTATAAGTAAACTTTATACTTTTCTGTATTACCTTTTTTTTCTGCAATGAGTATGTCTTTCACTATTAGGGAAAAAATAAAGCAACTTCAAAACTAAAATTTCTAAAAGCTCATACATTAAAGAGTATTTTTCTGCGAATTGCAACAAACCAGTAATGTTTTCTTACTCCCAGCTTTGGCCTTGGAGCAAAGGCAGTGGTCCTTTTGCAGAAAATCTCTAAAATATATGCAGACTGACCCCGGGTTGCTGACATTCTCACATATGTGACACTACTTGTAGCTCCAAGAAGTATGTTACATCTGGGGCTTTTTGGAATCTCTAGACTAGCATCCCTGACTCTCTGGTAGCCTCAGCCACTGCTCTAGTAGAGCTCTCTCCCTTCTTTCCTTGCTGTTATCCCTTCCCTTCTTCCCTATCTCTATCCTCTTTTCTCCCTTTCTCTCTCTCCCTCTCTCTTTCTCTCCCCACCCCCCTTCATCCATACCTGTCTCCTGCTCTTCCTCTCACCCTCCCTTTCCTCAATTTACTCTTTCTTAGGGCTTTCTTCTGTGTGCCCTGACATTTCTGTATTATCATCCATAAAATCCTCTGCAACTACTTCCTTGTTTTTACTGAAATTCTCTTGAGTGAAGTATGTTCACATTCTGATGTGCCATGTGCCATGTGCCATGGAGCTGGGGAATGGTTTGGTCATTTTTCTCATCATTAGCTGCTGTTGTAAAGCCATTATAATACCTTTCTAGTGTACAATTCTGTCTGCATTCACATTTACATTATCTGAATATAACACCCTTTATCTGGTATGTAAGGATTCCCAGGTCACCTCAAATGCCTAATGAAGAATTCAAACATCCAAGTCACAACCTTCTCCATCACAGCTCCCTCTGTCTTCCTAGGCAACACCAGCACTTGTCTGAAGGCCCTCTCAAACCATAACTGTCATAATTCCATGACTCCTTCCAATCCAGGAAAACACTGCCTCTCTAGGATTCTATGATTATAGGAAACAATTCTCTCTCTGAAATCTTGAATTATTGCATAGACTCTGCAATCATTACTGACCCCCTCCTCCATTGTCCTCTGGGTTCTGGTTAAATAACTTTATTCCTCTAGTTTGTTGCTTATCACAATGCTTTGCTAATTAATATAATTCTTCTCTCTCCTACTAGATTGCAGATATTGTGATTTATTTGTCTTGGCTCTTCTGAGAGAAACTAAAATGTCTGGAATAGCATGTACTTAATAATCATTTGACTGATGACACAATTGTAGGAACTGGTACCAAATTTATGGCTTTAGTAGAATCTTCAATGACAATCAGCATTCCTTTGATGAATTCCTGGTGGATGTCTCCCAATTTCTCATAATGATAATCCAAACTATGTTCAGCTCTGTGCCTGCCTGTACTTCCTTACTTTTATCATGGGAAATAAGAGGTCTTAAAGGTACCTTCCTTGATCCTGCCCATCAGAGGAAGAGGTATCCTTCCTTCTGCTGAAGATAATCCCTCACCTGGGCTGCAGTTCCCATCCCAAATCCCTCTTCTCCATAACCCTATTCTATCAGCTATCCCCTTTTTCCCCCTACCTACATCCTCTTTGTCTTTGCTGCTTCCCTCTCCTTACACCCTTCATTGTTCTTTTTCACTGAAGCATCATAGAATACTTGCTGTTCTCCATTTTTTGTACTTCCTATTTTATTCCTCAGCAAGGCATTCCTACCTCTGCACTCCAAGCAGGAGGGATTCACCAGGAAATAAGGCAGGGCAGAGAAATCCTAGGCATGTAGTCAATGTCTACTGGTATCAAACCAGGGCAAATTCATTGCTCTCACCAGTGACTTCTGAGAATCAAATCAAACAATCTTTTCAACTTATTTTACTTGGTGTCTCTGTGTATTCGATTCTATGAACCCTTATCTATAGTCTTAAAACACTATTCACTTTGGCATTCATTTTTTTAGCAAATATTTATTGAGCACATACTAGAAGCCAGATACTGTACTATGCACTTGGGATATGGTACTTAAGGAGAGATTAGGCCCCTGCTTCATGAAAGTGGAACTTTCTAGAGAGAGAGAAGTGAGTAAATGAATGAACAGGATATTACATGTGTGTTAACTCCAAAAAAGGAAATAAGTAGGGTAATGATTTAGAATAATTTGGGTAGAATTATACAGCATACTAACAATGCCTTCAATTGGACATTTGGATAAAAATCTGAAAGATGAGAATGAGACAGCTATGGGTACAACAGTATTTGGTGGGGAAGACCTCTCATGTGCTGGGAATTGAAAGGAGGCCAGCTGGAGTAGGTAGTATAAGTTAAGAAAAGAGATAAGACTGGAGAGCTGCTGGGTGACTAGATGATTAGGTGAGGATTTTGTATTTGAAACAAGGAAAATCACTGAAGAGTTTAAAGCAAGGAGTGAAAAAGATATGTCTTAGTATTTAAAAAGATATCTCTGGCTATTAAGTGGAGAATAGATGGCAGAGGCACTAAGAAGAAACAAGGAGACCAGATACAAGAACAAGGCAAAGATGGTCACTTAGACTAGGAAATGGAGTGAAGTGTTTATATTTGAGATGTGTTCATGAGGAAGTCAGAGTATTCATTGAGGGATGTGATGGCCATGGAGACTGGAGGAAAGAGAAATCAAGAATGATTCCTAGGGCTTTACTTGAGCAACTGGTTGTATGGTGGTAATCAATTCTGAGATGAAAGACTGGGAGAACAATAGGAGTAGAAAAGGAAGATGATCGGGAGATCAGTGTTGAACACTTAACACTTCACATGGAGATAGCAAGCAAACATCCAGAAATACAAATAGATAGCTTGGAAGGCAATTCAATGCTGGAAGCCTAAATTAAAGATCTGTCCACTTAAAACTGATAGTTGATGCCATACAACTAGATGAGATCTGTAAGATGGAAATGTGATAGGAGCAAGAATATGGCCAAGCGCGTTAATGCCTGTCAGTTTTTGCACAGCTTTTGCTGCTAGAATAACAACTTCCCTCTTTTACCTGTCAGTCTTTCTTCATCTTTAAGACTAGAACAAATACCAGGGAAAATTAGCTCCATTCTTGGCATACCAATTGCCCTTTGCTAATGATGTATTACACTCCTTTCTTTGTCCTGCCTTGAATTCCTTGATCATTTTTCATGAGACTCTACTATAGCTATTTGGGCATTTACTACATGCCTGGAATTGCTCTGCTCTGCCTTATTGCCTGGTATACCCCCTCCCCCATTCATCCTTTAAAAATCAGTTTTAAGCTGGGCACCAATGACTCATGCCTGTAATACTAGCTACTCAGGAGGCAGAGATCCGAAGGATCACAGTTCACAGCCCAGGCAAATAGTTCTGAGATCCTATCTCAAAAAACCCATCACAGAAAAAGAAAGGATGATGGAGTAGCTCAAGGTGAAGGCCCTGAGATCAAACCCCAGTACTACCAAAAAAAAAAAATTAGCTTTAGTACAGCTTTCCTAGCCTTTCTCCCCCTTGCCCACCTCCAGACATAGCTAGGTATACCCTCAAAGGCACTATTTATGTTTCCTTAGCCTAGCATTTCTCATATTGATCTACATTATCTATCACTGCATCCCTTAGTACCTCGTATTGTATCTGACACATAATAGGCTTTAATGGATTACTGTTAGGTGAGTGAAAATTTCTTCTGGTC